AAGCGTAAGAGTAGACCATTTTTAGACAGGCAAAAAATTTACATTCCATTTACCTTCTTGTTCATGAAACTAACAGAAGAAATGCTTCATCAAAATAGGAGTGAACCAAGTAATAGGAAGATTTGAAACAAGGAGAGAGGCAAAGGGAATTCCCAGAATGATAACAGTGAAAGGAAGTTCCAAGCTGACAGCTAACCTTAAAAAACAAGCAGTCTGGATTGAAGCAGAAAATAGAACTCCAGAGGACTGGCTCCAAGAACAAAGTGAAACTGATAGATTACCTGACAGGTGAAGCATACAGAGAGATTTAAACTGCTGCTGGAAAATCTGAAAACAAATTTTTGATGGTTACAAAGAAATATTACAAAATGAAAACAAGGAGGATTATTAACCCCAAGGAAAATAAAAATTGGTATAAGGAAACAATCATGGCACACTATAAGGCTCAGGTACAAATAATATTTGTATTTACAGTTAGAGTAAAAATGTTTGATTAATAAAAAACTGATCTAACTACACTAGAATGGAAGAAGGGAATTATGTAAGGATTTAGGTTTCCTACACCCTTTCTCCATCTTTAATGGTAGAAATACAGTGTATAATATTTAAAACTGAAAAATGAACTAGCATGAGTATATTACTTGAAATACAAAAATCAGGGGCGCCTGGGTGGCTCAGTCCGTTAAGCGTCCGACTTCAGCCCAGGTCACGATCTCACAGTCCGTGAGTTTGAGCCCCGTGTCGGGCTCTGTGCTGACAGCTCAGAGCCTGGAGCCTGTTTCGGATTATCTCCCTCTCTCTCTGCCCCTCCCCCGTTCATGCTCTCTCTCTCTCTCTCTCTCTCTCTGTCTCAAAAATAAATAAACGTTAAAAAAAAAAAAAGAAATACAAAAATCAAAATCAGAAATGGCTAGGGGTGGCTCAGTCAGTTAAGCATTCGACTTCAGCTCAGATCATAATCTCGTGGTCTGTGAGTTCAAGCCCCACATCGGGCTCTGTGCTGACAGCTCAGAGCCTGGATCCTGCTTCGGATTCTGTGTCTCCCTCTTTCTTTGCCCCTCCCCACTCACACTGTCTGTCTCTCAAAAATGAATAAACGTTAAAAAAAATATATAAAAATAAATGGCTAAAAGAATTGAACATGATTAGCTCTGAGGAGTGGGAATGGGAGTGGAGAGGTGGAGAAGGAAGAATGTTGGTTTTCATTTTAAGCCTATATTTTAAAAAGTATTACATTGACCAAAAAATGTTAAGGGCTAGAATGAATGTTCCTTGCTGCACTGATTATAAACAGTAATTGTTAATGTCAAACTCCTTTAAATTATAGACATTCCAAGCAATACTTTTTATAATAAAAAATAGCCAGGAAGACAAATGATTTAATCAACACAGGAAACCATCAAATTGACAATTTAACAACTGAGACTGAAAATTTGCTTCCCATTATAAAGTAGTGAGAATTAAAGTGTTTCAAAATCATGTCTGTAATAACACAAATTCCAGAGATGCTCACCAGCTGTCAGCCAATTATAATCTTTTCTCTTTTTAAGTAAAGGGCATACCCAACAACCTAAACGTATCAGAACTCTCATATATATAAACTCTCACATATTTTCTGTAGTTTTCACCCTGAGCTCCTCGCTACAAAGTAAAATGTCATGGTAATGAAATATTCACTCAATGACAGAGGTCAGAATAGTGATTACCTCTGGGGAGAAGTACTGACCACAAGGGAGACGAAGGAGCTGCTAGAGCCTGTAAATGTTCTACATCCTGATCTGGGTGGTGGTTACATGAGTGTATACATATATAAAGATTGATCCAAAAAAAAAAGAAAAAAAGATTGATCCAACTGTCCATTTAAGATTTGTGCATTGCCCTCTAAGTTTCCCCCAACGTAAAGAAAAAAAGTTCATGTAGTGAGAAGCAGCAAGCTCACCATTTAGGTGACATTTAGGAAACAAAGTATTATACCGGAAACAAAGTATTATACCGTGCAAACAAAACAACTACAAATCAAAACTTAGATCTACCTCTTAGTTTTACATCTTAGGTTTATAAGCACTCCCAAAGATTAGGGGAAACAGATGTCCATGGGTACTTAAAAGACGAGACTCCAATAAACACCAGGAAAATCAAACTTAACCTTTCATCACAATATATTTTCAACATACTCTCTTAAGTATTTAAATGAGATATATTTTACTAGTAGTTTTTCTCTTTGCACAAAAAGAATGGGTTTCTCAAGATGGAGTTAAACTGGCAAGATGACAAATACAATACAGAACTGTGAACAACTAGGTATTCAGGTTACCTCTAAAGCCCCTTTTTACTTTTGAAATGCTACAATTCAGTAAAACCAAGAATGCAATCTAATTTACCATCAGAGTAATGTTAATTTTTTTTCTTATTTGAGCAAGAGCACACTTGCATGCGCAAGCGGC